ACAACTAGCTGAATCTACCTATCTTGTTTTTTTGTGGTTTAATACACAACATCTGTGTTATCCTGTTGTTCTATGTTAGCTTAGTGCTTTGATTTCATGCCAGTGTTATCTTTTGACCTCACTGATATCTTTTGATTAATGGTCATCAAAGCTGGGTCTTTTTCAACAACATTCCTTGGATTTAGTCGTGTTTATTTGTAAGCTGCTACTATTTATTCGTACCGTATTTGCTTTATTAGAAGTGCATCTCCAATGAAAATAAACTAAAAATCATATTTGCTGTATATCTAATCATTAAAATATTTATTTTGACTATTGACGCCTCTCTGTAATTTATGCATGTGCTACTAATAGAGCGAATACAGTATGCTGAATCATACCAGTCAAAATTATTCATGAATTGAAGCCCCAAAATGATAAACCGATTTAACTTATATTGCTTGGGTTTACTTTCTGTAATGAGTAAACAAATCAGTGTATCGTTGAAACCATAATAAGCCGTAGGTGTGTTTTTGATGTTGATAATTTCTATATATTTATTGATCTATGTGATTTGTTCCAATTTAATGAGTAATTCCGATTATTTTGCTCCAGTTTGTATAGAAATCAATCAAAAACATTTTATCCTCCCTTTCTGACTGATATTCCATTATTAATTTAGTCAACTGACTGGTTGACCCAGTCTGCGTGGAAAACACCATAATGTTCCATTTCCCTTTTAAAAGTTAAACGGTAGTTCTGTCTAGTGTTAGTCAGTGCTCAGATGTGGGTCACTGAGTTCATCTGTTTACTATGCAATGTTCATGTTTTATGGCATTCTACAAGTTTCTGTAATTATCAGAAGTTTACACTTTCATTTGAAGCGTTTCAATCACAAATAAATGCAGTTTATGTTAACAAGTGATTCGTGAGAGTTCAAGTTCAAGTTGTTCCACTCAAATCTTAACTCAAGTTGGAATGTGGCCGACCAAACCCACATAATAAATAAAATTGTATGTTTTTGAGTAAAATCACATGACTATTGTGCATATTATTAACAGTAGTGACGTTTGGTGTGAATTATCACTAACTGATAGTTCACACTAAACGATTATGCACGCTAAAATGTCATCTGTCTAAGTGCTCAAACATTGTGCTGAGAAAACTGAATTGTACGACAGTAGCATAGTATTCAGACTGGATAAAAACAATTACTCCCATTGTGCAGTGTTGATAACTTATAAAGATGATGACTCAAAAGTTTATTTTGAAACGATTTTTTAAGGAGGATAACATCTCTGCCAATCTTTTAAAACCATTGGTGGTTATAACAGCAAACACGCATCTTCTGATGCACTCGCACGTCCTACCTAATTAGCATAAATTGGTACATAATTCATAAGGGTACTTTCGTAAAATCACAATTTCTCCATTGTGAGTTAGTAATGTGATAACAAGCTTATCACCTGATATCCCTTATTCGTACAGCTTGTTGATTAGATTTCATTTAGTAGTATTATCTGCTCACAACTGGAAAATGATCCAGCAATACGAAAAAGTAATACCAATTGATAACCTTATAGCGTGACATAGGTGTGTGTATTACTTTATTGTATATTGGCCTACCCTCTTTAAATAAAGTGTTAAATAAATAAATAAAGTTGTATTTCTTACCAACCGTGAGTGTGTGATGCAATGCACACACTGTCCCAGCTGTTGTGTCTGCTTTTGTACTGTAGATCTTTACAGTCGAATATTCAGATGTTGTATTTATATACAGCTTAATTTCCAGTTTAATGATTTTATCACATTCGTGAGGACACAGTCTGTAGCCATGTAGTCTATTGATTATTTGTGACTATTTTGTAAAAACAGGAAATTTGAAATTAAAAGTTGACAGCTTTGTGGAAATTTAGCCTGTGAAGTCAAATTTTGTGTCTGCTTATACAGTCACATGACAATAGCATTGCGAAATTTCTGGAAATACCTGCGTTACTTATGAACAACAATCGCTAGCTTTTATTGTTTACTCACAGATTATGTCTATGCCAGTGATAAACATGATCACAAGATATTAATAAACAAAGGTTTAGGATTATTGTAATACACAACACTAGAGGGCGATATGAAGCAGTCTGGCTTTGACTGATGTGAAGCGTGCAAGCAGTGACATAGTTCCCATGTCTGAGTGGTGTGTTTTTTATCATGTACTAAATGATAAATTGTACCAGTTTTATCATGCGACAAGATCCCCGCTTGGATTTTTTGTTTGCTGTGTCATGCTCTCGTTTGTCGGTAGATTAACATATAGGGGAGTGACTATCAAGATTGTTGTGTCCTTCAATGTTTGGAGTTTAAAGTTCTTTAAAATTTGGTTATTGAATAACGAAAAAATCTATTCTTTTTTTTTAAAGCTTTGAATTGAGGCAGTATGTTTCTGATTCAGACAACTGTTGGGTCAACAACACTCGCATAATTTGACCTGCAAAACTTACTACCCAGGGTACAGGTTTTAGAGATACATGTACATGTACACTTGTAGAATTTCAAACATGCAGTTGCTGGATTTTATACGAGCATGTCTACTTGGTCATGCAGTTTTCAGTTTTTACAGAGTTGCACATGGTGAGAATTATGCAGCCTGCTGTAAACCTTATGTAACAAATAAACATTTGATAGATATTTACTTTGAGCGAACTTTTCGAAGTACCAGGTGTATTGTGTGCCACATGTCTGTTTGATCCTCCTATGAAAGAACATGTTTATCAACCAATGTACTTTTTTTATTATTCTTTCCATAGTACATATGTATGAAAGAATCTTTTTATAAAAAAAAAAAGTGGAGGCGTTTGTCGTGTATATAGATCATGATAACTGTCACGCACATAAAGCAATTGTGTTTCAGTAACCCAAGTTCACCTAGACTCCTTGTCATCCACGCAAGAATTGACGGTTAAAGACTGTTTTGCTTGGATTATTTTGTCATTGGCTATTATCAACTGGCGAAATTGAACCTGACATATTGTGAAAACCCAAAGTCAGCAAAAAAAAAAAAATCGTGTCATATCCATAACAACCTCTTCGGGGTTACTGTGATCGGAATGTGATTCCTTTCACTGATTTTGTTTTTTCTTCTTCAAATCTAGGTGTATTCAGACGTCACTGTAGCTGGTTATTTTTCTCACACATAGCATTAGGTGTATTCTATTCAGTCACATCGCTGTAATAGCATGCCACTGGCGGGGGCTTTAGTTCTCCACACTATAGCGTATTGAATTGGTGCATAGTTGAACCTGACATGACGTACATGGGCTTAGTTGAGGTAGTCGTGGTGTCTCCGGTCTTTCAGGGGTCAACTTCACCTTGACGGATGGTTTCATGCTCCAATGCCTACCTACATACAGTTGCATGCATGTCTAGTAATATAGTCAGGATATGGGTCAAGCATACATACAGACAACGTTTTTTGAAACACCACACCTAATCAGACAATGGCTGCAATAACATAGTTTCTAAACTTGTTCAAATGTTACATAAATGCAAATTTGCAGTCTTCCTTGTTTCAATGCCAATGAAAATTATTTATTTTTACACAGCTGTGTTTCTCTTTGTGTAGTTCAGTGATGTTGTAAACACACATGCACTTTACCCCTTATGTTCATTGATTTATACACATAAAAACAAGTTTAAAATTTGTTTTTTTTTTAATCCTGTACCAGTGAGTAATAGGTACTTATTATTATTGTACTAATTTTCTTGTATTGTGCCCTTCAACTCAGACGCTCTTACCGCTATATCGCACATGTGGAAAGAAAGGTGTTTAAAATGTATTCTTTTTCGATACAACCAAAATATTGAGCATATTTTTATTTTGTTTTTATTTTTTTAATAACTACGGTGAACACACAGTGATACTATTTATAATAGTGAATTAAGTTTGTGATTGTACTCGTCAATAAACATTCCTAAATCGTCAAGAATTAGTTGGATATAATTTTCTTGCATCTGATAGTTCTGTGTGTCTGCTTTTGTCACAACAGTACGTGCAACAGGTGTTCACTGTTACTTATATAGATTCCCATTTGGGTTTGGGTCTCTGTTAATAATGGTCATGAACTAAAATATTTTTATGAGTTGAATGTGAAATATAGTAAAAAAAGTCATATTCATTGATTTTCACTGAAGCATCCCGTAAGTGAAAATAGTGAAATTTTAAGCGGAAATTAAGTATTCTACAGTAAGGGACGACGTCAAAAGATCGATGTCGGATAAAAAACTTAATTCCTTTAGTTTTTTTTCAAACCCCCCCTACCCCCCACTGAAACTTAATTGATAAATATTGGTCATGGCGTCAGACTACATTCACCATTAAATACAAATTGATAATCGGACAGTAGTATTGCATAACAGTTGGTTGTCGGGTGGATGTAAAGAGAGTTTACAAATGCACCTCATTTGATGCACAGATTTACACTCGAACCAAACCATTTTTCTTTTGTTTTTTTCCCTTTTCAGTTATTTCTGTCCATGATTGGATAGAACTACAAATACTCCAAGATTTTTTTGACTTCATTAAAAAATAAAATCGTTTTTGTAGGATGGAAACTTTTTGAGGTCAAAACCCCCCACCCCCAAACTAAAGGAAATAAGTTTTTTTATCCGACATCAATCTTTTGATGTCATCCCTAAGTATACAGGTAAATGTTATGTACATTGTAAATAACTTTTTGGCTGCTGGTAAATGAAGTTTCTTTCAAATAAAATGTCATATCCATCAGTTTAGTAATTTGCAAGTAATAAATACATGGCATGTTACAATAGATTCACTCATTCTGTACCGGATAAATTTTGCTTGGTGTATAAATAAAAAAATGAAAAAAAAATGGATGAAAATAATTGTCCTTAATGCAGCTGTTGATTCTTTAATGTAAAATAAACTTTTGTAAATATGAGAGAGAGAAAAGTGACTTTTGAATTTCTTTACTTAAACCTGATGTATATATTTTTTTGTCTTTTATCAGAATCAAGACCCTGAAGCCCGGGAGCATGATGTAGATATGGATCTTGGCGGGGATGTCATGTTTATCTGTACCTTTATCAGTAAGTTGTCACAAAAGTTGTACTTCCTGTGACTGTTGGCGCCACTCCCTCTACTCTGTTATACCATATATAGAAAATTATGTACTGTATGTATTTGAATGATGCAGTATACAAGAAATTTAATTTTTGGTTTATGTGCGTTTCTATTGAAGATGGGCTTCTAATAGAACATACTGTAAAATGACTAATTTTCACTGGGTTTAAATTTCGCTGATTTACCATTCAGGCATATTCAGTGGGTTTTAAATTCACGGTTTTAACATTTAGATAATGTGTTCCATGCTTATTATACATATTCACTGGGTTTTAATTTAGCGCATTTTCCAGTCAGCGAAATAAGCAAAATTAAAACCTAGTGAATAATTAATCCTTTTACAGTATTTGGTGTGGATTAGCATTGATATTAATAAAAATGAATCTGTCCCTGTATGGAAACATGATAGATAATTAATTTGGACTAAATTCACCATGAATGGACAGCACTTTCATAACAGCACTCAACACATTTACATGAATTTTCTCGAAAAGTCTGGACAAATTTCAGAAAAACACAGGTGCATGTAGCATTGGCTTTCAAACACAGGTAGCATGGAAAATGTTACCATTAACGTATCTAATCACTGTAAAAAAAAATGAGATTTTGATATGCATATTTTTGTATTCCTGTGCTGAAAGAAGGCGCTACTTCTTGTTGCTAGCTTCACTGTAAGACACTCTCCTATACTACCGTATTTGTCTCCAGTTAAGCGCCGCCTTCAATTAGGCGCCAGTGCCACGAAAACATCGTATTTTACACCTCAATTAAGCGCCAGACAGAGTTGAAATTTTGGGACGTAATGATCGTGAATTGGGCGCCGGCGGATCGACTACAGGTTACCGGTTAGTAGCGATAGAGGCGATCGCGGAAGTCTCTCACTGTTACTGTACGAATGACTTTAATGTAAAAAAAAATTGGTTTTGTTTCTAACAAATTTTGAGAAATCAGTCTATAATCTCTTGAAACATGTCTTTTTAGTCTACTGTAGAAAATATTCGCGTGGTTTTTAATTTCACAGTAAGTCCATAAAAACGAAATTAAAACAACGCGAAAATGTTCTGTTTCAAATGCGCTGTTATCACAGTAAACAGTGTTAAATTATTCTTTAAATGCTCAGTTTACTTTCCAAAAATAACTAATTTCTTGATTTGAAAAAAAAATCATGCCGTTTTTCCCACCAAAATCAAAGCCGAAAGATCGCAAACATCGGCAAATCACTTCCGCATTGTGTTCATACATTATTTAAATGAGCTATGGTAATTTTGATCACGTTGGCATCATCCAGCATTTTGATTGGTTAATTAACGACTTGACCTATTAGGTCAAAGAACACGTTTCAGGTAAAGTCCTAGACAGGAAGAATGGCAGACATCGTGACATCAAGCGTTTACATGCGACCATAATCATTCGCTTACGATGAAATTAAGTTGAATTTTACTTGCATTTTATTTTTTGTACGTTATTATAATTACTACTGAGTAATAATAATCGTAACCGTGGAATGCAGCATGACCGGATTTTGCTACCGTGATCATTTACTACTAAGCGATGCATTTGTGTTTGTTTTATTTTTCTGTTGATCGTACAGCAAACTAGGAATGTTTTCTAAAAGATCATAAATTTTGTATAACTTTCTAGACTGTCTGAAAACGGGTCATTTACTCAGTACCCGGTATTTAAAATACAGGCTACAGTGACTAAGCGTCAGACTGTAATGTAAAATATTGCCAATAATCTATCACCAGAATGGAGCAAGAACAATGGCTTGAAACAGTTAACGGTACTAGAACTTCAAGTGCTTGAAATAAGCGCCATTTGAAACACAGTTGCTCAAATTTAACCACAAATAAGCGCCACCACGAAATGAAAGTGTAACAAAGTGGCGCCTAATTGAAGACAAATACGGTAATGCATGTAATGCATTGGTCCCACAGTGTTGAATATTGCATGTATTGTATTTGTCCCACAGTGTTGAATAATGCATGTAATGTATTGGTCCCACAGTGTTGAATAATGTATGTAATGTATAGGTCCCACAGTGTTGAATATTACATGTATTGTGTTGAATATTGCAAAGACTGGTATACTGTTTTTGTTGTTTTCTAGCAAAGTTCTTACATTCTGGAGAATCCGACTATCACATGTTTTTAATAGGGAACATGCTTGGCTTTGTCCCATGTAACAATATTAGAATTTATATCCCTATCAAATGTCAGTGAAATCACTGTTTATGTTGCTTGGACCAGACTGTGTATGTGTTTTACTACGTTTTACACGATGTTGTGTCAAGTTTGAATTAATTGTAATAATGCATGATGGAGACGGTGTTGCAGTCAATAGTGACTGACATGTTTACTATTGGACAAAGAATCAAAATAGATTATATTATTAATTACCATTGAGCTCAAGGATTTCCAATTTGACAATGTCAATCTCATCTGCATCTTCAAAAGGTCTGTTGTACTATATAAAGATAAAACAAAAATCAAACATTTTAATAAACATCATGTATTACAGATGATAAAATTTTGCACAAATGTTCATTATTAAATAATTAAGATGGGATGACTTACTCCCAGCTATTAAAAGCTACTCACCATCCCTAAAACAATTTCTGGTCTTGGAATATATTACCCAAAATAAAAAATAAAAGTTGGTGCAAATCTTTAAAACTAATAGGCATGATTATGACAAATTAAACTTAAATCAAATCAAATTTCGCCACTTTCCCCACATAACAGCTTTTTTTATTGGAGGTCGTCATTTTTTTGTGATTCCACCTCTTCCTGTCCTTCATCAAAATGGTATTGCTTAGTGGTGTGTTTTGCACCCCTAGCCCTCAATTTCATTACTTGATGAATAATAAATAATGCTTGGATATTGTATTTTCGAGTATATCTTGAGTAATTGAATACTATTTTATGCATTTGAAATGACGTCATTTGGTAATAAATGTCATTTTCAGTTGGTTTAATAAATGTCACGTCACATTTGAATGACATTATGTACTCGTGGTTGCTATTGTGAACTAATCTATCACTTTTTGTCCCATTGCATTGAAAATGTATTTTTTCTATTAGAAGCGCATCTGCCAATAGATGAACATTATAAACCACTGTTCTCTGAACTACCAGAAATGAGTCATATAGCTTACACTAAATTCCTAGGACAACAACAATTATACAGTACAGTTCTCGCGAAAGCTTTGGCTTCACTTCAGCTTCACATCCGCTTCAGCATCGCATCATTATGGCATTGTTATGGCTTCAGCATCGGTTATCGCTTCGCTTCATTGTGGCCTCATTATGGTGACAATGTGGGCACCAGCATCGCTTCATCAAACAAAGAAGTACAGAACTCATTTCTCCGAACCTCTCGCCCACTCCCGCTTTTCAATCGCACGCTTTTGCGACCGCTTGTTGAATTTCCTGCTTTATTTTTGACTGTGCAAAAATTCGTACTACCAACAATTTTCTGGTTTTCATAGATCACGGTTACTAGTTTAGTAACCGTGCATAGATGTCGAACAACCATCAAAAGTTCAAATACTTTTTGTTTTAACTATCTATAATTATATGCACGCTGACCCTTTGACCTAGATTTGGCTGGAATTGACTAATTTATTTTAAACAATATTCTGACGTGACGCACTGCTACAAAATGTATTTCAACAGAAGTACGACATGGTTGACTGGGTTCTTTTCCTGACTGTGTTG